CTGCGAACACTGGTTCAAGGAATTAGCACATCATTTAACAAGAAATGCATGACCCTGTGTTTAACAACAAAACAAAAAAACCCCGAGAGCTCTTGTTTGTGTCTGTGCTTAGCAATCAGAGGAAGCTCCACCTAGGTGGGGAGCAAAACCATTCTTTTATCACATGCCAGTCCACGAGCCTCTTACTCACACTCAATACAGCGACATCCCATGCGAAGGCACCTGATATAAGCTTCTGTGGAGGATTCACTTCGAAGCTGGTCCCCCGTGAGGTATCTAAGCAGAAAAATGAGACTGTGAGTTAGGAAAGGCAATGATGCCAACATGTTCCCCCCGCCCTCCATGAATATGAGCCAGCAGTGTGTCCTTGGAAGTGATTATTCCCCTCTATTCAGCACTGGTGAGGCCACATCTGGAGTCCTGTGTTCAGTTTTGGGCCCACCACTACAGAAAGGATGTGGACAAATTGGAGAGAGTCCAGAGGAGGGTGACAAAAACGGTTCAGGGGCTGGGGACATGATTTATGAGGATAGACTGAGGAAACTGGGCTTATTTCATCTGGAGAAGAGAAGACTGAGGTGGGATTTAATAGCAGCCTTCAACTACCTGAAGGGGGTTCGAAAGAGGATGGAGCTGGACTGTTCTCAGTGGGGGCAGATGACAGGACAAGGAGCAACGGGCTCCAGTTGCAGCAAGGGAAGTTTAGGTTAGATATTAAGAATACTTTTCTCACTAGGAGAGTAGTAAAACACTGGAACAGGTTACCCAGAGAAGTGGTGGATCCTCCATCCTTGGAGGTTTTCAAGACCCAGCTACACAAAGCCTTGGCTGGGATGATGTAGTTGGGGCTGGACGTGCTTTGAGCAGGGGGTTGGATTAGATGTGACCTCCTGAGGTTCCTTCCAAAACTAACTTTCTGTGATTCTCTGAAGATCAGAGTGAGGGCTGACATCTTGGGCCATGCCCCCACATGCCTATGTATGGCAACACGCATGGGCACTCAGTTACTACAACCCATATCAGCCACATTCATCTCCTTCCCTGGAAGCAACCCTTTCCACTTTGGAAACTGTTACACCGCCAGTCTGTATTCCAGCATCTCCCCACTGGCACCCTGCACTCCCTCCTGATCTGGCAGAGCTCAGCACAGCACTTCTGTCACCTTTCCAGTCACACAAAGGTGGTGGTATTTTCCACCCCAAAATGATCTGACCACATTAAAGCAATATTGCATCCTGGTTTTAGAAGCTGACTGGAGGCCAGAACTCCTGGGTTCCACACCTGGTTTCTGCCACAACTTTCCTTTGAAACTGTAGGCAATATAAGTTTGAAATACTATCACCATCCTTCTCTAGAGCTCTGTTTAAACACAGATGCATGCACAGCTGACTAAAATGCTGCAGCACAGGTGGCACAAGGACTACCAGTACAATTCTGACCCCTTGTATACAATACACACTAAGACACGTGCATCCCAGAAATAACTTTTACCCAAATTCTGCAACTTGCACGAAGACAAAAGTCCCACTACTGAAGAGGCTTAAGATTTGCCTCTCAAAGTCTCATAAAGCCCAGACACACTAGGTCTGAACTGGGCAGTACATACAGGGCTCTTGGAAGAGCCCTGACTCCTAGGGCACATCCAGATGAGCATGCACGTACACTTTGCAGTGCCTCCAAGGCTTCTGAGGTGCTGCAAAATGCATGCAACGCACATCAAAAGGTTCTTCACTCTGCATGTTTGCAGCCCAGAGCCAAAATTAGATACCAGGAAATCCCAGGATCTACCAATAAAATGCTCCAAAAAAACCCCCCAAAAAACAAAATGGCACAGTGTATATGGCTGTAGCACACACCACCTGAAACAGGAGCCTGGCCAGACAGAGCACTCCAGCTGCCAGCCAGGCTCCACGTGCCCAGGTCACCGCTGCTGCAGCTGCAGGAAGCCCCCAGGACCCCAGGTAAGGGGCCCAGGTGCTGGCCTCAGCCTCCCCTACCCCAACCAAGGCAATTTGCCGCACATCAGAGCATGCATGCAGGGGCGGCGTTCCCTGGGGACAAATAGCAGTGGCACGTAGTTGTGCCACTGTCCCTGGGGAAACACACGTGCACACTCACCTGGACACACCCCCAGAGTTATTTACAGGAAGCTTGTGCAGGAGTCTGAGCGTAGACTAACGGCTATAGTTCTCTTCTATTTTCTCCTGGAAAGGTTTTTTTTTTGCTTTGTATTTCTTGGAAATACAATTCACTGCTTCTCAAGACTTTTTTTTTTTTTAAGTTGTCAGACAAAGGTCAGTGACTGCTGTCAGGTGCATATGTATAACCTCCCATTGAGTCTTCAGAAATCCAGACTGCACGTTCCTGGCATAACTTGAACTTTTTTCTCTTAATATATCAGCCAGGTCTATCTGATCAGAACTGGAAGACCAAGGTTTTTAAAAAAACTTACGTGTTGTGAGAGGAAGAGATCCAGTAGTGGGACAAAGGGTTATTCATATCCTGGGCATCTATTGCATCATATTTATCATCCCAAATACTGTTTTCTTTTGAGAAAAGGTAAGTGAGAAACTAAAACATAAAGACAGAGACTGGATGTTAATGCATTTGGTTGCAAGAGGGAAAAGAATACAAAACATTATAAAGAGTAGAGTTCACTGAACTTGCTCTCTAATCAGCAAACTAAAATTTACAGGAAATAAAAAGAGAAAATATAGATAACTAAAAGAAATTATCACATTATCTCACCTCATCAACAAAGAGGAAAGGCTCAGCAGTTTCTCTCATAGTGTCATCTATAAACTTTGTCATTCGTTCTCTGACTTTACTGATATCCTGTGCCCAAGATTCCTTTAAATTAAAAAAGAAAAAGTTATCGTCATTTGTTTCCATGGCAAAAGCATAATAATGCTCCTTACATGCGCACTATATAAAATAAGAGACAGACTTTCAGAGCAGCAATCGACTGAATGGCTCTCATCTGGCTATAGTTAGTTGTTGTATCTTCTGTTTCACCCATCCAATCTGGTTCGGGCTATAGCTGTACTTAAAACGATGATGTCTGGGATCACATACAAATGCAGTCACATACCAAAGAGTGAATGAAACCGGCACGCTCGGAGGTTTTGCAAATCCCTCCAGCCACTTGTCATCAATCAATGCATGTGCTGTCATTTAGGTTCATCATTTTTTTTCCCCCAAAATAGATTTAATTTCAAAATAATGCAACTCTATGTAAGGGAAAGCCTATATGCCGACTCGGGGATAAAAGAAGCCCTCAGCTCTAGTACAAAGCTGATGCAGGCAGGGGCTATATTCAGGGCAGGAAAAACCACAATGTATGAAATCCTGACCCCATCAAGGCAAAGGTAATCTTGATGCTGGTCTAATTTCCTAACTTCCGAATGCCTCACTTTGCAGCCTTAGTGTTACTATAACGGTCACATCAAGAAAAAAAAATCAAGTTTGTTCAGGGAATGCACAAATGTCTGTGTTCGATTTGACTGTTAAATGAGATTTGCAAACCTGGAGCTCAAAAGGGCCTATGAATTATCAAAGCTTAAACATACAGAAAATATGCCAGGCTTTCCAAAAATATGCACATGGTAACAGGAGGGGGGTGGTCTGCAAGATATTCTTTTATCACACCCCCACCTGGAAAATACCCTATTTTTTTTATATCAACCCAGGACTTTAATCAGACAGTCTAACCAGGATAAAACCCACAGTTTAAACTAATCTATGTTAAACAGGATCTCGTCTTTACCTGTGAATGCTGCTTGTCCTCACCAGTTCACTGCCGGAAGACAGACACTACTCCTGTTAAAATTTCCTTTGACTCAAGTGAAGCCAAGATCTCAATACATTGTTTCTTTCCACGGTGCCAAGCCCCATGGGGCCATGGCGAGGATACCACCTCAAATGATTATCTGGTGTCACCCACAACAGAGCCAGGATGTCACTTCTGAGATCTATGTGGTGTCAGTCAAACAGTCCCATTTATGTAGCAGAAACCAAATAAAACCACATTAACTGCAGCATCTCCCTCTCATTTTTTTCACACCTGGCTTTTCTTTACAGAGAATAAACTATCATACAGCTGCAGTTTATGCTTAATCATTAATACCGATGCTTAGTGATTTCAGTGAAACGCAAGTATGAAGTGAGATCATCTCTTTTATTGGATCAACTTTGATTTGGGAGAGGCGTTCGGCAAGCTTTTCTCTCTCCCAGCTATAGGTTGGTTGAATAAAAGATATTACTGCATCTCACAAAACTTGCTTTTTATTTATTCCCGGGACCCCTAGGGCTACCATACTACTACTACTAGTTTCCGTGTCACCATTAGCATTGCTGTACTCTATGTCCGTCTGTGACTTCTCTGCAAAATGTGTTAATGCTGGAAGCCTTGATAAAGAGGCACTCGGGTGTCTGACCCTCTCACCTGCTGCTCGTGTAGCAGAAATCTCTGGAAGTCATGCAGATGGACTGCTGAAGCGTTTGGATGGTCAGTATTTCTAGGGCAGAGGGAAAGAAAAAAATTAGCAAATTTCTTGATGGGGGGGAAAAAGGAGAACAAATATCAGCTAAGTCAGGCCCTCAGGTGGATATGGCTACAGAACTGAATCTATCCAGATCGTGGACTCAAAACTTAGTCGAAACCCTGTTGAAGGCAATGGGTGGATGACGGTGTCAGGAGTGGATTTTCAATCTCAGAATCAAAGGTCACAGCCGGCTTTGAAAACGACTCGCCACATCAGGCTGGAAAAGTTACTTAGGCTCTCTCTGTTTTTCGTTTTGTAATGCGAGAGCTACATTTCCTTATGTAATCAGGGTGTTGTGAAGCTTAATTAGGGTATTGTTGAAAGTATTGTTCTTGTAAATTATTTGCATAGCCACGTGTTTTATTAAATGATACACGCACTCATGAGTAAGGACCAAAGAAGTTATTACATCAAGGGCAGCGAGTCTTAAGATACTTAAGAAGTTCCTTATATGCAATATGCAACATCAAGATAAACTGGCTTTACCTAGAAGAATCGTAAGCATTCCTCACTTATATTCAGCGGCCCCTTGTCTCTTCAACATGCTGCACGTACCTTATTTGCTTAGGAAACTTGAGACTTATTACAGACAAGTAAATCAAGACGTGATTTGGGTTCAAATTCTGCTTTGCCTCAACCAATCCACAATACTCCTTTCCCTTTGAGTTTAACTCCCAAAGCAAAAATTCAGAGAGCCAACTGCTGTCCTCCATTAAAGCTCTCACTGAAGTCCATCAGTAGGAAAACTTTAGTTCTTACAGCGCATCACCCTTTCTCACTTTTCATGCCAGCTATTAAAATAAATGTCAAAGTATAGGTAGGGCGCGTTTCAACAATAAATGCTCATCAAGCAGCACAGCGATAAGAAATCCACTCTCTCTTCACTTAAAGTACCATAACACATAAACAGTGCCATCACTTCAAAGAAAAGAAATAAATGGTTCCAGTAGATCAGAGGATCCCAAACTTTTTCTTATGGCGTACCCCTTCCAGATTTACCAGCTGCCCGCGTACCCCTACCAGCATACATTTTCTATTTTAACCCCTTATATGCCAATTATTATTATAATGAAAATTAAATTACACAATTTCTCCCGCATACTGTCTTGTGTACCGCCAAGGTATGTGTACCACAGTTTGGGAACCCCTACACTAGATCATTGATTGTGGGACTATGAAGTGTAGCTGCATTACAACTACACGCACACATGCACACGCACACACATGTATAAAATTGTATTAATAGGAAATCTCACCCAAGAATGAACACAGAAGAATCCTTTTTGAATTCGTCAAGAATCTTGAGATAAGAATAAAAACAGAGAAATGATACACAATAAAAAAACTACATACTTTCACTCAATAATATCTACAGTGGCTTGTGCTCTCTACATGCTGTATAGCTATTTAGTTTTTATTTGATTTATATGCTACCCTTTTAAGCTAGCAAACTTAAGTTCAAATGCCCAAGAAACAAGCTGTCAAAGCTAGTGGGTACATGTCAGGATTTGTCCATGTAGAAGCACACAATTCTCAAACAAAAAACTTGGCCTTGATAATTCATGTTATAAAACACAAGCAGTCATTTTCCCTGGGAGCTTTTATTGCTTGATAGCCTGCAAAAACTGTAAGCACATATATACTGTATCATCTTTATTCATCTGGGCATAAAATCTAGACTAAATTGCCTCCAGGTTGGATCGGCACAGATACAGATCTCAGGAAGCAGTTGCCAACTTATCTGAAAACAGTTGTTAAGCAAGATGAGGAGTTTCTTAAAATGATCCACCAAGTGTGAGAACAAGAGTTCAAAGGAGGTCAGATGCTCTGTGCTTTACTCTCCCTTTAAGTAACTTTTTAATATTTAAGGTGAAAAGCTAGACTCACCCTGCAAAAAGGAGCACTTAACAAGACAAACTGAACAAATAAGGCATTTCAGCAAGCAAAATCCTACAGCATACAGTTATTTGTATCAGACAGATCAACATTAAAAATAAGCTTACTCTACAAAACTGAAAGGAGAAGTTATGAACAAACCATTCCTGTGTCAACTGAGGTGAAGCAGCCTGAATATCAACAGTGGCTTGCATTTCCTCAGACACAATTAGCGGTATGCAATTACTACCATTCAGCCATTCGGACCAACATCTTCAAGTTTGGGTGCTGAAATTTAAGCACTTAAGAGCCAGATCCAGAAAGGTATTTAGGTGCTGAAGACCTCCTGAAATCAATAGGACTTAGGCACAGAAATCCCTCTTGGGATCTGGCCCTCATACCCACATTTACGCATTTAAGTAAATACCCCGATTTTCAGTGACACGAAGCTTTTGAAGCTCCCATCAACTTCATGACTCTGGATGCAATGAACCTTTTTGGTTTCAGTGACCAAATTGTTCCCTTAGTAAATCTGTAAACACAGAGCCATGCCATTTATATACCGCTGGGGCTGTCACAGGCATATCATGCGGTAAGCCAACTATTTATGCACCATCCTCACACCGAAGGAAACATGACAGCGACTGCCCTCATTTGGTGACCAGGACATGCAAGCAAAGTTTAAAGAATGTAAAACTTATAACGTAAAGAACGTATTTATTCTGCATTCCTTTGGATGCAGAATAAATCAAATCAGGAAATCGCACAAGAACAAAACCCTCATTATACTGAACATCCATTAATTAAACCCAACCCATGAACATCCTACACACGGCGCAGACAAATGCGCTTGACAAACTGCTCCCAAAAGCCCCGTTATGTGTTTGCACACTTGCACTATGAGAAGTCAAGAAGCAACACTAATTTCTCCATTTCTTTTATTAAACTAGCTATCGGTGCTGGTTGTCACCAATCCAGCAAATATAGTAAGACGAGTGAGCATTTTATGGTAGATGGCAGACGGTCCCGATTCAGCTTTCATTCAACCCAAGCAGGGTAACAGCACGCTCGCTGGCTATTTTGAGATGAACTTACCGATCTCTGTTGTTCAAACATAATTTTCTTGTAGAACAAGTGAAATTGTTCAAAACTAAGATCTTCCTTGGGTGCTCCCACTTCCTGTGAGAGAAAGTTGCAGAGCATATTTAGAATTTCCTCTTTGATTTTTGTTGCGGCAACAAACATGTCCTTCCCTTCCTAGCTGCCGCATGGTGCCCAAGCATGCGTATGTATGGCTGTTGTGCCCTGACGTCAACTATGTTGACATGCCAGCTAAGTGATTTCTTAAGATAAAGGTCATATGTAACATGAAAAAAAAAAAGAGATGTTTTGGTTTACAGTATATTGTTTCTGATCCACATCTCTGGCTTCCAACTCTTTTATCGCTGACCCGGATACCAATAGCTAGTTCACAAGTCTCCCACTTTCCTCTTGCAAAGTATGAGGGAAAGTGTCCCATTGATGCCTTGTTAGCAGACGTAATGGTAGCAGTTATTTAGGGCTTTGCGGTGGAAATTACAGGGCAAGAACAACACAGAAAAGATTTTTAAGGTTCTGGGAGGACCAAGGGCCTTCAAAATGTTATGAACAGTAGTGAAAGATGAAATGAAAGTCTAAGGGGTTAGGGCTTTTTTCATAAGGCAAAAGAGTTCTCGGTTTAAAACAGCGTGGAGACTGGATCTTTGTGAATTTGGCCCAGTACCGTGAACAGGGCAGCCAGCCTGATTCTGGCTTTCCGCAGTACTGCAATATTAAGAACTAGAATAAAGGTGATAATAAGTTTAAAAAGAAGAAGTTTCTGAGTTACAGCCAGATCTAAACACACACAAAAATAATCTGATAATTAAATTAATTCACATTGAAAGAAGCTAAAGATCTAGACAAAATACCATACATAGGAATCAGCTACAGATGTTAGCCAGACATCAAGTACTTAATGATAATTACCACAAACTTATCCTTCAAAAACTTCATGCTGCCTACTTTGAAGTTTACTAGTGGAAGTATGGTCTTCAGTTCCCTAATGCTGATACTGAAAGAAAAAACAGAGCAAAAAACGGCAGTTTTATTAGTATACAAGTAGCTGGCATGTATTCCTCACCAGCACAAAAGTTAAAATATTGGTACAGTTTAAATACTTTTTGTTCATTGCTCCCATCCAGCTACAACTGGTAGCTATGGTCAGAAGATTGCTGTGTTAGTGTAATAAAATGGTAAATATTCTTTAAGTGTGTGTGTGGGTGTGTGTGTGTGTGTAATTTCACACCCCCCCCCACACACACACTGCATATTTACTCAAATATAAGACAAGGTTTTTTCCCCCAGTCAACATGGAGAAAAAGCCTTACATTCGCCTACAAGGGAACCTCACTAAATATATTGTCTATCATTACGATCCTGCCCAAAGCAGCATGTGTTCAGCAATAGAAGCCAACTATAAAGTTGATTAAATGCAGCCAACACGGAGCATGACTATAAAACACGTGGCCCATATGAGGGAAACAATATTTTTTTTTTTTTTTTGGCTTAAGACCAAATTAGTTCTGAATTCCAAATCGACTGAGCCCAGCTCAATCATCAAGTCTGTGGCTCTACCACCGGTCAAGTCTCCTCCCTCCCATACCCATCAGTCTGGGACTTCAGATACTCCCCAAATCCACTGAAGGCATGATAGGAGCTACCACAAGGATAGGTTAGTATAGCTCATCTGAGTAAGATATATGGTAGTGCCCACTGGACTCAGTCCCTCTCAGCACTGACTCCAGTCATGGTGAGCCACTATACTGCATATATTTCACTGTCCTCTTCACTCCCACAGCTGAGCTGAACTTTTCTTTCCTATTTCCAATGAGCTGTTTAGCGATGTTTGCTAGACATTTAAGGCTGTTTTAACCAGTCTTAAATGTCTAGCAAACATCACTAAACAGGGCCCCAAAAAGCTTGCCAGAATCCCTCTGCTGCCCCTTGTCTCAGCCTGTCACATATTATTAGTGTGGCCCTGCCTTCCATGAGATGGAGCTGCCCTGGGCCTCATGTGCATAAAAAAATTTGGAGGATCCCAGGACTCATAACAAGAACACCAGGTTCCAGTCACATACTAAACAGTGCTGAGCTGTGAGGTCACTATATGGCTTGAACTGCTGTTGTCTCTACTGGGGCCCAGCCCAATGAACTATATGGTAAATCATCAGCCTTCTGGCTTTGGAATAATGGCATGCACAGTTTGTAATGTATCCAAGTAGGTACAGAAGTGCTGCTTAAAGTGTATTTATGGAGTACCTGTGCTAAAATCTGCAGCAGTTTCAAAACAGATAAATTGCGGCAATTCTGGATGAATTAAGGCTCCAGGCACCTGTAATTTCCCTATGTGCAAGTTACTACAGGTATGTTTGTTTCTACGTCAGTGTTTTCAGACTTGCTTCTCACTTCCATGTGCTCAGTGAGAGCAGGATCTGACAGTAAGGCAGGTGGGGGTGGGGAATAGGCTGCAGGGGAAAGAAGTTGCAGGGACAAAGAGCAAGGAGGCTACCTGTCTGACTCCCCAGACTTATTTTCCCTGCTGTAGCAGTGAGAGGGGGATGAAATCAAGGCAAACCTCCAATAATTAGATTCCATACCTAGAAAATTATATCAAATATCAAATCTAAGGGGGGGAGCTGTGGCAAATGTCATCAAAGATAAACTACAAGAACAATAGTTCCAGTCAGTTCCAGGGCCCAGAAAGTCTGTAGACTGAGCAGAAAGTCTGTCTGTAGACATTTGTGCATGCCTGTACATACAGGAATATACAAGTGTCCTCCTGCATACAGAAAATAGGTATTTCTTCAATGACATACAAATAAATACCTTTGCTTATACATTTTTGCACATATTTTAGGAATGGAAAACAGAAAGCAGCATTTGAAAATTTGCCCCCTTTGTTCCAAATGTTTCACAGAGTCACATGACTGAATGAGACCTCAAACATTAGACAGTCCAAACCCCAATATCACTATCCTGTACCATTAGGGTTTTACAGGTAAAATACAGTTTATCAACCTTATACATGCCCCTACATTCTTACACAAAGCAAAGAGCCATGGGTGATCCTGGAAGTATTTAATCTCAAGCACATCTCAGGATTCTCAGAGTTAAATAATATAGAGTGGACAGAATACAGCATCCACTTAAAAAAAAACCCAAAAAAACCCCAGAAACCCATTTAAAGTTTATTCAGGTCTCCAATCCCAAATGCTGCCAAAGTGGCTGCAAGCCAAAAAGGGTCACTTGAGTACAAAAACAATAGTAACTAGCAGCGTAAAAACCAAATTGATTCTTTAAGGTGATTTCTAAACTCCAATCACATAACAGGTTTTATCATTGTGGTTTTCCATGCAGAGAAAGAAGCAGAACACACAAGTAACTTGTCTACAGCCAAAGAGGACACGAGCATCTGAGGCAAGACTACAACTCAGGGAAGTCCATTAAACATGGTCCACATTTCTTTCCTGGGATTTTTCCCCAGGTGGGAACTGTCTACCCATAAAGTGAACACACTAACACTTCACTGTACAAACCCTCTGGATTCAAAGAGGACCGGCTGCATTGTTTTCTACTAGGAGTGCACCGATAGAGGTTTTTCGAACCAATACCGATATCTGATTTTTTAAGCAGGTATATTGGCTGATATGGGTCCGATTTCCAATACAGCGCAGGAAGCTGCCTCCAGCTGGTAAATCCACTGTGGTGGAAGGGGAGGAGGGAGGGAAGGGGTATGGGGGGTGCAGGCAGATCAACCCGCGTGCCCCCCTGTGATCATGGAGGAGACAGGGGCTGGGGTCGGGCCAGGCGCTGCCAAGCTGGGGCCGGGCGGGGTGTGGGACAGAGCCGTGGCTCCAGGGGAAGGGCAGCTCCCGCCACTGCTGCTTGCACCCAGGAAGACCTGGGGGGGGCTGGGGAAGCATGTGCCCCTGGATCTGGGCATGGTGGGGTGGGTGGGCTGCAGCTGTGGGCTGGAACTGGAGCTCCTCTGGGATCTCCTCATCGGAGGGCTGGGCTCGGGGCAGGGGCTATGGAGGGGGTTGCAGCCACCCCAGATTTCACCATAGCTCCCTCCTAGTGCCACCGCCGCTAAGCACCTGGCGCAGCCCTGGCTCTTCCCAGCTCAAAGTCCAACTCCCCCCACATACTAGGAAGAGCCAGAGCTGCGCTGGGCGCACGGTGGTGCTGGGAGAGAGCTATAGTGAAATCTGGGGTGGCTGCAGCCTCCTCCGTAGCCCTCGCCCCGAGCTCAGCCCCCAGCAAGAAGAGCCTGGTGCAGCCCTGGCTCCAGCACGCAGTTGTAGCCCACCCATCCTGCCCCACCGTGTCCTACCCTGGCTGGGCAGCACCTGCCCCTGCCCCCTCCCTCACCGTGGGGTAGGGGTTGATCTGCCCCTCCACACCCCTTCCCTCCCCCCTCCCCTTCTACCACAACAGACTTACCAGCTGGAAGCAGCTCTCCACGCTGCTGAGCTGTGCTCCTCGCTTCCTGAGTGCTGCGCTGCAGCTGCGCACACGCATGGCATTTATCGGCCGAATTATCGGCCGCATCAGGCCCATTTCCGATGCAGTCAATCTTTTTTATATCAGTACTGATCCAATATCGGACCAATGTATCAGTGCACCTCTATTTTCTACTATTAAAACACAAGGAGACTTCAAACGGATATACAGTACTGCCGGCAGCTACTCTGCACCAGGGTCTTCCGCTGTGGTGTGGTTCTTATTGTGCTTTGATGAACAAGCACCACATCAAGAGAGCAGGTGCCAAGTGCAGCGGGCCTGAGCTGGCATCCAGTAAAGAACAGTGCAGGTGGCACACTTTGCCCTCCCCCCATCCCAAGCCTCTTGGAGCCCATGTGCTTGGGAACCCAACTCTGTTCCAGATCTTGGGTGTCTCGTTTTGTATCACAGTCAGCTGCCCAGCACATGGACTGTTTGCAGAATGGTGTGATTTCCTGCAATAGCATGGTCTCATTCACACGAGACCACAGTTTATTCCGCTCTTCGGGAAAAGGCTAACTAAGAGGAAATGCGTGTCATTTTCTGCACTGAAGCAGAGGTACATAAAAATGGGTGTGCCACAGAGAGGTTGAGGGCATTAGACAAGCCGTGGTAAAGTGCAAAGCACCCAGGGATTGCGTTTCCTCCTTAAAGCACTGGAGAATTTCCATCGAGGCTAGTGAGAAAATATACAACTGAATTCACAAGACAGCAGCCTCTGCACCAGAGGCCTAGCTGAGCAGCGCTGTGCCGAGGCAGTACTTCACACCTCTCCAGTCCCCCCAACACCCAGCATCTTCCCTGCTCTGGCAGCAGGGACGGCAGAGCAGCAGGAGAGGAGCAATGGCTGGAGGGTTGTTGCTGCTGGTGGAGATTTTGCCGCCTCTTTTTTTTTTGCTGCTAACTCATGTGTCAAGAGGCCAAAAAGCCCCCAAAAAACCACCAGTTGTCAGCAGCAAAAAAGAGGTGACATCTTCCCCTCCAGCCACTGCTCCTGCACCACCTGAGTCTGATTCCCTGTCCTTCCTGATGCAAATACATTGTAAGGTGGGGGGGAAAGGAGGTTGGGAGACTGAAGTACCCCCCTAGCTCTATTCTGGTGCTCCCCCCCACATCTTAGGCAGCACCAGGGGCTCATGCCCCCACTTACCCACCCATCATTTCATTCCTCCTCTGTCCTGACTGGCAGAACACGGATTCTCACTCACCACAGAGGAGGTCTTGCAGACTGCAAATCTCTAGCACTTTATGCATGGACCTGCAGCGAGCACCTGGTCAGTCCCTACAGGAACCCAAATACACTGGCTCCATGCTGGGAGACACCATGCTGGGCCTGCTCAGCCGAGATGTGTGAATCTAGGAGTTCACTCCTGGGTCTAGGTCTCCATTAATACAGAGCAGAGCAACGACTAAGCCAATGTCACGGCACTGCAAGTCCTTGCAAATGACACCTGTGAGCCCTCTGATATTTTGCCGGTATCTGGCTTCCTCCCATCCCACTTTCCCAAGGCAGCTTTTGTTCCCCCTTTGCACGGTACCCCACACCCAGAGTTTCTCCGATGCCCCTACTCACAGAACATCTCTCCCCTACACTTGCAGTCACTGCAAAGAGGAAGGACAGTGGTTATGCTGCTGCTGGACCAGGCCAGTCTATGCCCTACCCGCCACTCTCCCTGCACCCACATTGTGTTTGCCATGTCGTGAAGACATCTTTGAGTGTAGTGTGTTTCAGAAAGATCTGAGCCAGCTAGGGCACCAGTAGCAGGCTAGTCGTGGCAGCACAGAGCTCATCTCAGGCAGCCACAGACATAGCCATAGACACCCCATCAGCTGTGCGGGCAGGAGCTGGAGCAATGGCCCAGGCTGGAAAAGGGATGCCCAGCAACAGGCTCTTACTCAATTAACAAAGAGGCAATATCCTTTGTAGAGGAAATAGCCAGGTGTGTGGTGGGGGGGGACGGGATGGACTGGGGAGCTCAAAGCAGAGCTGAGGGGAAGGCACCTCCTTGATTACAATTACAGCTACGCTAACACCAGCCATGAAGAGAGGGCTAAAAGGAAAAAGAGATATTTGGTCATATTATACTATGTCTGATCGTCGCTGAATGTCACACGCTTGATGTTCTTCAAATAAAACGGGGCATGTTCACTAACAGTAAGCGTCTCTTATGGAAAGAAAAAAAAAACCCTGTAAGGTAGTTTACATTTCATTTTACACACATAAAATAGAAGAATGGGCCATGAAAAAACTAAGGACACATACGAAGGGTGAGATTCTTACCTGTTCCTTCTTGTCTGATCAACTGAATAGATCTGCTTTCTCAGCCAGCTGGTAAAACAGACAGGTTATTTTGAGAATTAAGAACAAGCCTACTCCATATCACAGTGTCAGTGATGAAACCAAGCAGAACAACATTTATGCTTCAAATCGAGTCATTTGGAAAGATTAACAAGTATTTTCAGGGCACCCTTCTAGGCCCCCACCAGTGTTCCCATCCTATTTTATTATTGTTCAGTAAATGTTTCTCTCCAAATGTTGTGCGACACAGCCACATGAACAACAGTGGGAAATGACTAAACCCAGCCATGGGAAACAGGGGAAACAACAGGCCTGCAGGGCCCAAGTCCTCAAATGGTGTAAATCAGCATAATCCCGCTGAGTCCAAGGAGCTGTGCTGGATGCAGTGGGACTGAGCAACGCCCAGCTGAAGAACTGAACCCAAACATGGGCACGTGCATAGAAAGTAGAAAAATGTAAAAAGAGAGAGAAAAATGTTTTCCCCTTCGTGTTTCTCAGCTATTGCACATTTATACCAATCGGAGTTTTTAAAGAAACCTGAATCAGGCAAATTTCAGTTTGAGCAGACAGCGTTCCTGCAAAAGAATATTGGAAATAGTGCAACTTGTACAAATTTCTTGCGTAGGGAAGCTCTACATACAGAAACACTTTTTATCCCAAAAAGATAGTGAACTCAGTCTATAAATGCAGGAATCCCTTTACTCAGGGGTGCTCAATCCCTGGCTCACAGGCCAGATCCTGCCTGCAACACCGTGTCACCACTAAATCCCCCACTGCCAAATTGCCGGACCCGTTAGGAGCCCCAGGCCCTGAGCACTGGATTAGACACCCGATCCCAGCATGCAGGGCAGGGAGGGATGTTGCCAGATCCCAGGGCCAAATCCTGTTGTGCGGGGCCAGGTGGGGGCAGCGCCAGGCCCCAAAGACCCAATCCCAGTGGAAGGTGGTAGGAAGGGAGGGCGGTGCTGGGCCCCCAGGGACCTATCCCAGCACGAAGGGGCAGGGAGAGGGCTATGCTCAGCCCAAGGCCTGATCCTAGCACACAGGATTCATCTGGCCAGCAGACTGGACCGGCCTCATCCCATTCATCTGGGCCATGAGACCAAAAATTTGAGTACTCCTGACTTTGCTCGCTGCCACAACACAAGGGCAGCAGTGCATAGGAAAACTGTACCATGCAATATTACATGGTCAGACCATAGGGAGAACGACTGGGTAGGACATGCACACACCCTGAGAAAAAGAGGCATGTTACAGAAAAGCATGAGCACGGGGTGGGAGCAAAAGGCCCGTTTTCAAGACCGGGGGCTCAGCGGGATATTAAAGGTGTGGGGTCCTGAGAAACTCAGTGTAGCCTGAACTCTCTCCAAGGCCACCACACACCTGAGCAAGGCATTGCCCTGAACATCTTAGGATGGTATCACACGCTCACTTACAACCGTTGCAAATCACTGGACTGCTGTGATGTACTGAAGTTAATACATATTAGGGCAGGCATGGCCAACCTGCAGCTCCGGAGCCACACGCGGCTCTTCAGAAGTTCATGGGTGTCTCCTTGAATCTTTGCACGAGGACACGGTGCCCACCTTCCAGATGGATAGATGACCTAGCTCTACAAATGGAAGCTGGTCACCTTGCGCTTGTGCAAAGATTCAAGAAAATGCATATTAACTTGTGCAAAGATTCAAGGAGATGCATATTAAGTTGTGCAAAGATTCAAGGAGATGCATATTAACTTCTGAAAAGCTGCACTTGGCTCCTGAGTGGCAGGTTGGCCACCCCTGTATTAGGAGATAACCCTCACCTAAAAGGGAGAGACGTTTGAATGCCATGAGGGCATTTAACACATGGTACCCTGCTTGAATGTGCATCTGCTCACATTTTAACTGAACCTAGTAAGTGTTAAAGTTGAACATGTGACTGTCTTAGGTGTCCAAACCCAGAACCAGGCCTGTTTGTTAACAAAAGGGAAACCAATAACTGGAGCCAAATTCACTGCGGTGGAAGTAGCCCCACTGCCACAAGAAACTCTGAAGTGGCATACACTTATACAGAGTCTGATCCTGGACTATGATCTTTCTGACCAGCATGCTGACAGTTACTCTTTCAGTAAGGGATGGACCGCTCTACCTTAAACATCCCTTTCTAGACTTTTGCCATCATATTCTAGAAGAAGCATCTAGCTGTCACACGTTTCTCAGAAATGAAGGGTAAAAATTCCACTTTACCTCTCTGTGATTGCAGGTGTGGGAGCACTCATAACCTCTTGATGCAAGATATTCAAGCCGCACAGCCATTTATCAGTATCATCTTTAGAATCGGCTGAAAAAGATGAATATGCTATGAGGAACATCGACGCCAAACAAAGACATAAAACTCTGATGTTCAGATAAGCCCCAGTGTACGAAACACAGTGGTTAACCAGCCCCTTTGATAATGTTACTTCAGAGTTTTATGCTGCCAAGGAAATATTTAGTTAGTTTTCATAACTTTTTTTTTCTCCCAAATAAGTCCTGCTGGACCTGTCAAAAGTGCCTCTTTTCAAAGGTTTGTTCCTCAGATCATATGAAGATTCGTAGCTTCTGAGATGCTGCTGCTGACCTACTACTACGCTCTCACTATGACGTTTTTCTGCTTCCAAAAGTGGCCAAAGTAGACACGAGAGCATCCTGGAGTCACCTTCTGCTACAGAAAGACCGTGCAGCTTGTGGATGCTATAGATCCCATTGTGCTGGGCTCTAACTGTAGCCTTTGACGCTTCTGCGTCACCTGTGAAATAAATTTTGCAAGCAAAGAACTGAGTCTACTCTGCTATGATCACACCACTAAGAACTGATTACTCTGGACTGAGTTAATTGAACTGATTTATCTTGTATAAGTGCTGTATGCTGGAATCCACAGTGCCTGGGTGACACAGATTTGTATTAAAAGTAAGGGTGGTCTGCAAACTTCCTTTCCCCTCCCCTCATTTCACTGGGGCAGGATCTGGAAAGCCCTAAATTAGGGGTGTCAAACTTGTCTGGCCCTGCAAGCCAGATGAGCAATACAATATTGTCCACGGGCTGGATGAATGGAGCCAGAATGGCTCCGTGGACCCCAACCCCTTCCAGTCTGGGACCTGGTGGGAAGAGGCCTGACATCCTAGGCACCTGGCTGCTGCCACGGAAATAAGCCACGGTGTTGGGCCTCTTCCCAAAGTGCTGCTACAGCTGTGAAGGTCCCCATCCTCCCCACCTCCCCCCCACGAGGCTGTAAGCTGGATGACCTGGCTCTACAAGCTGATCTGACCCGCAGATCATATATGTTTGACACCCCTGCCCTAAAGCATTCAGTTCTGACATCAAAGCTTTTCTTTACCCAAAACAATTTCCCTTCCAACTGGTTTCCCACCCGCATCTCCAATTCAAGCCATCTGCGCAACATCCTGCAAAACAAAAATGGTCTCTCCAAAGATGCAAGGCTATGTAAGTTAAAAATATACTTTTACACAATACTGCGTCCCTCGGGACCCCGGCTAGAGCCTGGCTACAGATCCCGGTGGGACTCGCTCACAATTAGTTACATTTTGGAGAGGAACGGGCACCGCCCAATGCCGATCTAACTGTTCCCTGAAGGCAATTTTGCCTGAAGAAAGATAAACTTTTCCCCCTTCAGTAACAGTTACTCTGTATTGTTCTAACAAACCAAGACAAAGTGTTTTAACAAAGGAAAGGATTTCCCCCTCATTGAAAATCACATTAGTCAAGCTGCACTATGATTTAGTGTTATGGCAACATAGCTCCTAGTACAGGGCATGTTTTCAAAATCGTGGCAAAGGTTAGTTTTTGACAACAGCAAGAGAGGGAGAAAAAACAGCAGCCTTCAGTGTGGTTGGCACATTTATATTTAAAGCATGCCGACCGCACTGCGCGTTCTCAGTCTCCAGAAACAGGCTGGACTTCACCTCTCAACTAAAACTTCAAAACGTGCTACCTGGGACCCAACTATCACAAGAAACCTCTTTCCAGCCCCCAAGATCATGCATGCCATTTACAACCCCCCCCCCCTACAGTTTAGTGCAACAGTGTACATGCAATTAGTTCAAGCATATAAATAAGGCATTTGCTTACACTATTGGGAAAGTGCATCAACTACAAAGCACCTCGATTTTACATTAAAAAGGCACTGCTCACTTCTCTGCTCGGCTGGGAACTTCTTTTTAAAATGACTTGAACTTATTGCAGCTTTGCGAAAAAAGGCGGTGCTCCCGAATGGGACACTACTGGCTTCAACAAATGCGGAAGCAAGAAAATTACTGCACTATGTAAGACCGTTGGTCCACATAGTCCTGTACAAAGGAAGGTGCAAGGATGCTTCATCATTAGAGATGTTTCTCTCTCTTCTCTTATTTAAATAACCCTTTTCGGCAATTCCGGACAATCTCATTTTCCATTAAAAATAGCCGATTCTAGTCTGAATCTTTCCAAGCTCTTGGCTACACAGCTCTCCTGAAGCAAAGAGACTTGGGTTGTGTAAAAAAGTCTCTTCTTTAATTAGTTTTTGATTCACTGCCTTTCAATGATTAATATTTCTTTGTTCCTATAGATGAGACTTAGTAAGTCGAGTGACATACGCAGGCCTAGCATGGCACCTCAACCTGTAGTTCATCTGTTACTCTAGTCCTTGCACTTTCCTAAGTAGAGAGATATTTTCTGTCGCGTGGAAGTTTTTGTGATTTGGCCACACCGAGAAAAGTCATAGCTGTAGCTCCAGCAGTCAGTGTTACCTGTGACCCACACTAGACTGAAACTCAGGGGGGAAAATCCAGGCTAGCCTCCCCCAGTGTCAATGCCAAAACTTCCAGTCCCTTTAACAGAGATAATCTTTCATGCACTGTCTTCAGTGTTGAAAGTCTCAGCTGAGATAATTAACCAGAAAGGGTTTACACATAAAGAAAAAATGCTAACAGTGTGTCTACACATTTTTGTGACTCTTTGAGGCCTTGGGAAGCTGCAAGCACAAAGAAGTGGGTTATTAAAAATATATCCAGAGGCTACTACTTATTTTTTGCTATATATATTGCTTTCAGACAACCTGTCTTGCATCAACTGGCAGGCATTTCATCATTCCAGAACATACAGAGACGAATGTCAGGCGGAGCAAAAGGCTGATTGCCACAATGCAGACATCTGAAATGACCGCTTCATAAACTAAGCAAAATGATCAGTTTAGACAACACAAGAGAAGACTTTGTACCAGCTATTTTAAAGCTTAAAGTACAAAAGCTGCCATTCAAGGACATTAGTGGCAGCAAGGGTAAAAGCATTCTTTCTGGTTTTAAACACTGAGCAAATACTAGGAACACCATAACCTTTGCATTACTGTTCCATCTTTGCATTATGTTCCTAGTCTGCAGGGTTCATTGTCTATGAAACAAAAAGAAAATACTTACCTGCTAAGCTTAATGTGCAGAGAACAAATTGGGTACCATAAAAAATAGTGAAGCAATGTTCATCTTTCTGCTTTGCTTTCCCTCGCTCAAAGTCCTTTGAATTTTTCCCTGGGCGAATTTCCTTTATTTCCATCAAATCCACTGAAAAGAAAGAGAATGCGAGTCACTGCACCCTGTACTTGCATCATCCCAAAAGAGCCCACTGCAGGAGGACAAATGAGTATTACATTATTATTATTATTATTATTATTATTATTTATTAAGATCATATTAACCACAGATTACAGGTTTCACAATTCTCCAATTTGGAGCATACAACTTTTGTAAGATCATCTAAACATGCTAATAAAGCTGCCACGCAGGTCAGGCCAGGGGGTGGGAAAGGGAACAGGAATATGACCTCTTTGCCATAACTTGTGACACCACAATTGTCTCTACTGGATAACTCTCATCTAAAACCTGGACCATCAACAGCTGTTCAAGCAGTTTTATGAGTGGCATTGACCTCGATAACTGATCCAGGATACACGTCACCAACTCCACCATGAAAACTTAAACGTTTTGAGCAAACCTACGCTCTTACAGTGCAGCCGTTTTTTTTGCTAAGCTTCAATGTAACCATTAAGACACGTATCAACCCCTCTCTGCTTAAATCCAAACAGATCTCAGTGCTTTAGTGTAACCTTTATTGTGATATTACTTGTATTACTTCCCAAAAAAGAGCACAGATTCACTTTCAAGAATCGTGAAATGGAAACGTTGCTCGGATGCACGTTGTGGAGTCAGTCCTGTACAAGTCCTCATGCATTACTCTATATGTCTGCATAATAGTTGAGGCAGCACTGAAATAGAAATATGTGCGTTTGTGCGATAAGATACTTATTAGAAAACTGAGGAAGTGGTTTTATTCTTCCTGGAGTGGACAGAAGCATACATGGCTCTTCCTACTTTTGACAGGTCAAAAGCTATTGGTTACAAGATGAAGAGTGGGGAAAAAACTGCACAGCTGCTCTCGAAGTGTGTCTATCAGATCATAAAGCATCAGAGGAAAGTGGCTGGGGGGTTCTGCGATTCAGTGATCTGTACCATATATTTTAAGATGAACATTTTGCTGCTAGTAGGTGGTGGTTTATAAAGCACAGTGACAAATTAATTATAGTTTTCACAGAGGAAGAGCTACCCCCACCCCACCTTTTTCTTTTTTTTTTTTCTTTTTAACGCTGAGATATGTGGAGTGATGAATTTGTATGTGGTTTGAGTTTTCAGGCTGGGAGCGCAAGAAGTTTTATCAGCAAAGCCTGGAGAATGCAATATTCCCACACCTAGGAATGCCTTGCACTCGACCCGTTACCCCAGGCCAAACTTATCCCTGCATTGGGTAGTGTTTATCCCGACAGACCAAGGGACCTTCCCAGCTCCTGTAAGGAACAGAGCCTAACTGTGAAGTGCTGCGCAGCGTAGTAGAGCAACCCGTAGTTCCTGACCCAGGCAGAATGCTTATTCCCTCGGTTGAGCTTTTGCCGAAATAAAGCTGCTGCACCCTCGCAACCTTTCTGCTCTCTCGCATACGAATAACCTGGGGAATATCATCCTCCAAGATTTGCAAACTTGGATGCCTAGCTATGCAGCCTGTATTTTGGAAATGCCCCCCTACTGTCTGCACTGGACACAGGGGCCGACCCCTCCACGCCAGAATGAATGATCTCCCATCTGGCATCAATGGCAGAAAGGCATGCAAGCCTGCGGCAGAGCACTTCAGCCTCTCTGTTCTCAGGCAGCAAACCTCTAGAAACCGATTTGAAAGGGGAAATTGTGGAACAAGAAATCACCCACAGACCGGATTGTGTTAAGTACGGTTTAAATAGGGCCGGCATATTCTTTTCCCAGGACCTGGGTTTGTTTCTGTGACTACTTTGTTCCCAAGCTTTATTGCCTGCGTGTTTGCTCCTGCCCCTCCCTCCCCTCTCCCCATCCCTACCTTCTGCTTTCCTATTCAAATGTCTCTCTCCTTTTTACAGAACCTTATGACGTGAACTTCAGCCCACAAAAGCTTGTTGTACATCTACCTGAGTTAATCTATAAGGAACAAATCGACCCTGTCGTCTACTTGACTTCAGTCTAACACAGCTAACTGTGTCTCAGCACCCAGCACCCAACAACTCCTAGTGACCGCTCTCAGCCCTCTGACAATCCAACACCTTGCTTCGGTCCTCTGGCCACGATTAGGTCCTCATCCTGAAAGACCCACGTCCAGAAACACTGGTCTCACTCTCCAAGCCTATCACATTTTGGCAGAGACAAGTCAAAATGCGTAACTTCGATCTCATTGAAAAGTAAGGCGATGGGGAAGCATTCATCCGACTTCCTACATCCTTACAGGGTGTCAAACACCCTCCCCTAAGACCTACAGCAGAGATAAAAATAAAAGTTACACAAGGCTAATTGTTGTTGCCATTTTGAGTGACTATTACCTCATACTGACCTCTACAACAGACACAAAATTGCTTAATTTGTTCTCACCATTACACACACACACACACACACACACACACACACGTACTACTTCCTTTCTCTGCATACCCTTTCACCCTTTCCTCCTTGTGCTCTCGATGCATGTGCGTGCATGTGTGCCGGGATGGACTACGGGTTTTATTGCAATGACTCTGTTTTAAATGTGTTCATGTTGTAATAAGCTTGCGTGCCTCAGTTTACCCTAACTAGCTGGTACACAGGGAAAGAAAGTCCCAGAGCTCCCTACAAACAAGACAGTCCTTCAGCAACAAAGGAAAAGAATAGCTATTTATAGATATTTCAAGAATAGATATTTTCAACAAGGTGGGTCTAGAAGTGACACCCAAGAGGTCCAGGGGAGGAGGGGCAAATATGCTTGACAATGGAGGAAGTAGCTGGAAAAAGCAGGGTTTCTGCTGGGGAGCTAGAGGCTGAAGCAAGGGAACATCTGGGATATTTTGGGGTGTGCAGACTGGAGAGAGAATAGCTGAGCTAACTGTAGGGGTGCTCAAGGGGATAGCGTTGGGACAGGGAAAGCTTACCCCTTTGGAGGTAGGTAGCGTCTTCTTGCTGTCTGTTTTGCTACTTGCAGCTTGGGATGTGCTCTTTCCCCTTTGGAGAGCTAACATCCCTTTCTCAGGAGCTGAACCAGATGCTGGCTCCCTGAGGAAGGTTGTAGACAGCCAGGGAGGGTCAGGGACCGAAAGGCTAGGGTTAGGGGCTGCATACCCAGGAGATCTGCGCCCAGCAGGCACACGCATGGATCGGCTTGGCCACAGGTAGCCTGACTAAGTCCCACTGAAGTCAAAGGAAACAGGACCAATCAGGCTCCAAATACTTACAGCTGCAGGCTCCCTATTAACCGTTAAGCACTACTTAAAACCAAATGACTTGTGCACAGCCCAAGGAAACATGTCAACCTCAAAATGAACCACGTAAGGCAACAGACTGCAACCCAAGAAAGAGAGGACTTCCATTTAGTCTAGTCAGCCTCATGCCAGTCTGGAAAGCCAAAACCCCAAAGCCATTTTCAGGCTTCTAGTTTATGGATCATCCAGGCTTTTATGAGGTTATTTCTGTGGGGTTCAAGGGATTACTTTGGCAAGCAAGGTATCCTCTTGATTCTGACAACTCATTCAAGTGGCTGCTCAATGGGCTTGGAGCCAGAAGGACCATCATTTACCGTGCTATTTCAGGATCTGAGCTGGACGTGCAGTATAGTGGTCTGGGAAAGTGCTAAGAGTCAGGAATTCCCGGATTCCAACCCCAGCTCCACCCGGGAGTTGTACGCTTTAGGGGAAGCCAGCAAATGTCTATGCATTATTTCACTACAGCTGCAGAGGTGCCACCTGGGTTATCTGCACATCTCCCAGAGCAATACTGTAGCAGGGCATATACTGATAGCCCTAAATTTAGGCATAAAACTTTTGACTGCTTTATTTCTTCTCCACCGAGTGGCTAAGCAAAGAAATGCTGAAATAGATTGAGGACTGCAGCTGGAAAGGAAAAGATACAATAAGAATGTGCATTAGAAAGAGACAGCTTTGACCTGGCTAATAGGCCCCAAGTCTGATAGACTTACTTATTTTCATCCATAATAAGATGAACTTCAAACATCACTTGGAAGCTGCATATCCGGTTACAGTCAGTAGACTCATGGTAGAAGAGGGTCTTAAAAGAGGATTTAAAGGAGCAGAGTTGTGGTTTTATGGACTCTTTCACAGAGTTCTGCTTTTCTAGAAAATATTGGCTGAAACGAACTGTTATATAATATGCAAACAGACTCTTGAACGACCTGGATTTTTTAAAACTTGGCTTTTAGCAAAGCGCAGAAGCAGGCAGTCTGTCACACGGCTAAATTGCCCAGGTGACTATGGAAATAGAGCCCGGCCTGTCTTCCGAGTTGTACTGTCTCACATCTGGAGCCTTTGTAACTGTGTTTGAAATAATTTTGTGGCTTATGATCTTTGATTGGTCCACTAGACCACAGTGTCTCTCGTTAGATTTTACTGTCCTTATGAGTCAAGCCATCCTCCACACTGCATCTATAGTGTGGTTTGTAACATTTCGGAGGTGTCTGCAGTTCCCAAGGTGACTGTGCATTTTCGGTCTGTGAGCAATGCCACCGCCCTGCGCTCTGCGCACCGCACTAATACCCAGGTTTCAAAGAAGGACACAATAGCTCGCATTGTCAGCCACGTTTGATAGTTAAATCACGGATTCTGCAAAACTCGAACCAGGCGACTGTCATCACTAACCACACCAGAGCCTATTTGCAAAAGGGAACTGAAGGCTTTTTAACTCTTCATCCAACAGGGATCACCTGCACCCTTTCCTCCGTTGCGAGGTTATGCACCTCTCGTGTCAGATCAGGTTTCTCTCTCTCTCCAAAACAGCAACCGCCTCTGAAAAATGTTGTGATGCAAATGACCAAACTTTTTTTTTTCTTTCTGAAAAACAGTTCCCAAATGCATGCAAACGATGTTGGCCGCAAGCATAACCATCCTTTGTTTGTAGAGGGTCAGTCTGTATCTAAGCACAAACTTTTTTCCTTTTGGTCTGTCTACACCACTGAAGCTTTAGTCCTGCCCCGGCAATGAAACCAGCCTCGGTTAATGATACGCGTGTAC